CAGACAGACAGACAGAGAAAATAGAAACCACAGGATGACGCGAAGAATAAAGAAACATCACACCAAAAGAAATCAGCATGCAAACTATTTTCACTTAATATCTGCACAACATGCAGAGAGGCTTTAAAGTTTCTGCAAAATAAAAGTGTTTTTCATTCAGTCCTGCTGAGCTTCTTTCTTAAAATACACTGCAGTTAATGAAAGCACACTACTTGTGGAAAATGTGCTACCTGTGCACCATGTTGAGACCTTCTAGGTAAGCCAAAGCTTTGCATATCTGTAGACAGTAGAGGACAAGCGTCGCTGTGCTCAGGCTGTACTGGTTCTCTATGAGGTAGTTCCCCAACTGTGAGCGAAACAAGGCACAGTTGCAAGTCACGGTTTAGGTTGCGACACTTTAGGTTTACCATTAGAATAAAAACACAAAAACATACCTCTCCGTGTTCATAGAGCTCCATGACAATCCAGACAGGATCGGCCTCAATGACTCCAATCAGACGCACGATGTGGGGGTGATCCAGATTTTTCATCAAGTCTTTAACAGAGAGAATTCAGACTTTATTAATGTACTATTTTCTCTGTAGAGACAGACAGAGATTACATTCAGCAATGGTTCTTGGTTATATTACGGCTTTTTGTTTACAGAAAACAAAAGCCATACTAGCCCCAAAGTCCTGCTTACAAATCTTTTTTAGCATTACTCCAGCCTAGGCAGACTGTCACAAGGAGACAGACAACTACACAGATTAACCTAAACCTACTGACTGCATGGCTTCAGAGAGAACACCGGGAGCATGCAAACTCCTCACAGAAAGGCCCCAGGCAGGTGGTGGATTCAAACCCAGGACCTCCCCACTATGAGGCAATGGTGCTAACCATCACACCACTGTGCCTAACCTAAGCTCTTTATCTAAAAATACATTTGACTTCTGCTTTTCGTGCAAGTCTTGTTCATACTTTATGAGGAAGATTATAATTATTTTCTTCAGAAGCAAAATTGATAGTTCTCCCCTCTCTTTTCTAAGCCCCTCCTATCAGATGAGCACAGGCAATTGCTCATGTTTGATAGGCCTAAAAATAAAAGATGTTCAACTTTACTTTACAGAGGAGATTTGAAAACCAGAGCCATCATGTGGCATCCCCTAAAAGACCCCACATCTCTTTAATCGAATGTTATTATATATTTTACTGTCATACAGTTTTCACCCAAAAGTGCATGTTTGATTAACTCTAAAAACCTGATTCCAGAGGAGTTTCTGTTGCTCATTTTGTTTTAACACCCACTGCATGCCCAGCAAAGAAGCGTGTGGCTAGCTGGTGAATTTGCAGCTAGTGAAGCGTGATGAGTGCCACAGCACAAGGTTGAGACCAAAACGAGTGCTACATAGAAATGCAAATGTGAATGCTGGATTAAACAGAGAAAATAAGAAGAGCGTTGCTGGTGATCATGGAAGAAGAAGCAGGGCATTTCTGGGGAAAAAGCGTAACAAAAATGTTGGATATTTTGTCCTGTGACCATGAAATTTCAAAATGTAACGCTTGATTTAAACAGTTTAACCATCAGCAAAGATCCAGACCTCAGGAATGTTTTGTCTATCTCAGAACAGAAAACTGCAAAGCTTGCTACGTCTCAAGCTTTGATGTTTTTGCAATGGATGATAAAACCTGCGGCTTCCAGACTCCCACATCTAGCCGTCGGAGTTATTACATGAAACCACAAGCAGACAACAGGAAGTTCACTACATCAGCCTCGTTACTGGTGCAAAAACCTTCAAATGATCTAAACTAGCACATTTCACTCTTGGCTTGTCACACTTTACTCATTACTTCTTTAAGCAAAAATTAGCCAACGCTTTCATTTTCAAGTATATAAGAACCCACCCATATGGGTGCATGGCACAACATAGAAGAGCCACCTCCACAGGACAAGACTCAGCAGTCCATCTGCATCTTAAGGACAAAGGTCACTCTTTCGAGGATGCCAATGTTCACATTTTGG